AAGCTCTTGTCCATCCACAACTGCCCCCGTTTCTCGAGGCCGGCGCCGGTGATCAGTATGCAGGCGCTGGGCGCCTCAGAGCCGGGTCACCCTCAGAGTTATTTGAGCCACTTGCTCAGAACCGCTTCGGGTAGATGAAGGTTGGTAAGGGACAATCCCCTGGCCAGAAATCGCTGCGAAGATCCCCTTGCCTTCTTAATTCCTGAAGCATGGTTCTGGGTAGACCATATTCAGTACCGGGTTTTGATTGTGACTCATTTGGCTGTTGGGGATTTTTCAACGGAGGCTGGACAGAAATCCCTCATGTTTACTTGCATGGGTGTGGCCTTTTTCTTGAGGGTACCCTTCCTGGTTGGTTTGAGAGGGAAGCCAAAGGAGAAAGGAACCATATTTGGGGGTCCTCTATCATATCTGCTCAATTAGAAGTCATGCCTGTTTTCTTTTGTTGTTGTTTGAGTTGGTTTGAGGTGGCATGGCCAGAATTGGTGAATATGACCTATACTCGTGTTTGCTTAGGTGTCTTGAGCCTTCAAGTGTCAAGCGCATGGGTCCCAAACAGGTATTTATCCTGGACTAGGGTGGATATACATATCGTGTGAATTTATAGATGAATAATATATGTGTCTATTCCGTACCAAGAGCTTCTATAAAGTCCGGATGCGTGCTCTTTTCTTTTTGCTGCAGCCATTCGCTGGCAATCACAAACTTGAAGCAAGACATCAGGCTGCAAGGTTCGTTCGCAGCATCTCGGCGCACATATGTTGCTTCGAAACAAGCATCCATTTTACTCTTCAGTGCACAGACCTTCGATGGCGCTGTGCATCGGCGGCTGGTACTTGTTCATGATTGTCATGCCAGCAGACTTTGCGAGTCCTGGAAGCATGCTCATGAATGTCGAGCAAAAAACCCAACAAAGTTTTCAACTGCGCTGCAAGTCAATGGATTTAGATGTTGGCATACGCGCCTAATGAAGTTTTGTTGCCACTGTATGGTTATATGCAGGAAGTCGGTTGAACTTCCTGCCCGGGGTGAATTTGCCACTTGCCCTTTCATCGTGTGCCTGTACAGTGTCAAGGAGCCTGGTACCGGCGTTTCCCCGGATGCAAGTAGACCAGTTTGATAACTTTTGCGCACTCTCCAACATGCAAAGTTAGGGAACATCATGCCGTTGCTTTCCGCTCCGAATCCAGGGCGTGCAGCCGTGCGGCCCCTCCAGTTTCCCATTTTTTGTTCCTGCACATTTTCCTATCAAAGCAGCTTCCCTGCACCACACGCATGTCCAGGTGTCAGCATGTCGCCTGTCCTGAGGTACTACGACCCCTGCGGAGGCTGAGCATTCAGATTTATGTACAAGCCCTCCTGTGGCATCGGCGGAAATTCCTTCCGCGCGAGGAACTTCTGGCTTTTACTGCACAGAGCTTCCATCGCGGGATGGAAGACATCAGCTTGGAACCCCTTGCTGGTCACCTGGTCATTTAAAAAATACTCCGTGCACTCAACTGTTTGGAGGAGTCCCTTCTTTGGACTTTGAACAAACTGTCAGAAACCAGGGGCATAGTAGTCTGCCAAAGCAAACTGCCCAATTAAATCTTGCCAGAACATCAACAGGAGGGGTGGTCAGGCTTCAACACGCGTCAATCACAAGTCGCAGCTAACACATGGTTGATGTACCAAACGCAGTAAACACTGGTGCCCTCAGCCATGTTCACATCCCGGGCCCTGTTGCTGGGATAGATTGATCTGTTCTTGGCATGGCGAGGTGGGCTCGAGAGGGTCCTTGGGATTCAAACCACACGATGGCTGGGGGAATATAGGGTTATTCCCCAACAGCTTCTCCAAGAAACTGAGCCGTTTTGAGAAGCTGTGTTTGAACCGTGGTTCGGTGTTTCAACCACCAGTTTCGGTTCTTCCCCACCCCTTAAGGATCAGCCTTGCAATATAACCACCATTGTTTACCGTTCGGGAGGTTCATCATATCAATCGGGTCCGATATTCTTTTAAGGGGTGTGGACTTCTAGGGCTCAAGTGTTTCACTCTTTGACTAGAAAGGGACGTCCTGGTGAAGAGGATTGGCTTTCGCCAAGTGGAAGGGAGAACCCTGCATACAAAACTATTTTTGCTGAGCTGGGATGGTCCGCTCAAGCTGTTGAACCGTGTTTGGTTCCAGCATGCGCACATCAGGCAAGACAGTGGGGTTTGGCAGAAAGACATGACTAGTGAAATGCTAGTCTATGCGGTCTCAGGGCTCCAAGGATACCAGCAATTCGACGTCAGAGTTGCTTATATCAAGTGGACAGGTATGTGCAAAAGCTGGAGATCTCTTCAACTGAACATAGTTTTCTGTTGTTACCTTTTTGGTCAGTCCAGCAATTGTCCCACGTGTTAACACATCTTTCAAAGAAAGAGTAGTCGAGATTAGACCCATGCTCCCGGGAAAATATAGTGACCTGAGAAACGTGGTTTGTGACTCACCCATTAAAGTTTCTTTGAGTTATCGAGTGTTGCATCCGGAATCTCTGCCAATGATGCAAGACGTGGAACCCCATGTGGGTGTGTCTTGTCATGACATGCTGACCCCCTAAAGGGGGTTCCCTGTTTCCCCCTTAGTTCTCACATGCCCAGAGAGGCGTTCCCCTCAAAAGATGGTACCCCCCGTGTGCCACAAAAGGAGCTAGCTTGGTGCTCCGGAGCCGAATACCTTCGGCTGTGTACAGAAGGAGCAAAGCTGAACGGCTGGTCTCCCAACATGGAACCTGAATGGAGGTGCCTGGACCTTTCTCGTTTGAAGATTGCCTAAGACGTAAGTAATTTGCCTTTTTTTGTTCTGCCCTTTGTCGACTTTCCCTCATTTTCCCCGTGCAAGTGATTTTTTGCGGTTGGGCTTTCGTAGCAAAGGGGCCCTCCTTCGGGTTCCTTGTAGGTTTTTACAAGCGATGGCAAAGTAATTGGAATTGGAAGTTGGAGTCAGGGCTTGCGTGTTTCGCGGCAGTGGAGGTCATGGTTCGTGACTTGGGATAGAGGTTCATGTTGCAAGACGCACATCAGGGGAAAATGAGCTTCATACATTTGTGCGTGGCAGGGTCATTGTCATGCAACTTTCAGCTTATTGACAAATGCAAATTGAGACCTCCATGGCAGACTCTATCCATTCCTCCCCCAAGCGTCGTCGATGTGCGAGGCAAGCCGCTTGCTGTCATGTGTCGCCTGCTGCCTGGGGCCATTCAAGCATCGTTGTTTGAACCATTCTTCACTCATTTTCTGGTGTCGTCACTCGAAGAAACTACGCATCTCCATAAAGCTCTGAGTTTTTGAGTTCTGTAAATCAACATGACCAGCCTTGATTTGGCTAAAGAGAGCATTTGCCAAGCCGAAGAGCCCCTAAGCCGCCCCAAAATTGATGGGATCTGAATGTTTGGCGCATGGACCCTCCAGAGTGCGGATTGGTTGGGACCTCAAACCAGACCCTTTGGAGGCGCCGAGACTCTTAGGGAACCTTAAGCAAAGCCTCACCCATGGAATCATGCCGTGCTGAAACAACTTGCATGAAGCTGCCCTGGCACTGCTAATGCAGCCTCAAGCACGACGAATCAGTAAGCCAACCTCATGCCTAAGTCAGCCCTTCATTCCATCCACACAGCAGTCGTGTCAGCAGCCGTTAGCTGAGCCTGAAATGAACCGCACACCAACACGAGCTAGCTTTGAGCGAGCCTGAAACCCACCCTAAGCCGGCCAACAGCGTCCTAATCAGGGCAACTCGGCATGGCCCAAACTGGTCTTACCGTGGTCGGTGCTGTGGATGCACCACTACCCCTTTCTGTCAACAGTTATGGAAGTGGACCCGCGGGTTTTGAAGACTACACTTGTCTTGAAAAGGCATCTTGTCCCACTTCGATGATTGTCGGAAAAGGCATCAATCCGTCAGGCTGATCAAGGTCATTACATTGTCGCACAGGGAGTTAAATTTGATTTGAGCCGTCACCTCAGTGGCGTTACACGGCAGCTGGAAGCTTTTTGGGCAGCTGCAGCGCCCGAGCAGTGAACAAAAGGGGGCGCTTTAAGGGAGAGTCACCGTGGTTTTGCGACGTCGCCCAAAGTATTCTTAGGGGTCACTGATTTTAGGTTGGGCAAAGTATTTTAGTTTGCCCAGACGACTGGCCCCCTGTACTGTGGGAGCTATTTTTGTCGGGAGCAATCACAACCACTTGCTTTCTTGGAAAATCCTGGAAACATGTTTTGATTAGCTTTCTCTAAAAGTGTAGGGACTCGCAGGTTTGTACTGTTTGCCAGTATGTTTTCAGTTGTTTGTTTCCCGCAAGAAGAGGGACGGGGCTGAAGCACAGCCTTGGCAGCTTCCTGAATCAATCTGGTGTGTGCTCGTACTTGTTGTTCATAGCGCCAGAATGTCAAAGCAAAACAGAAGGAGCTTGCCTGAAGGTCCTCAACTTTGGAATTAATCGTTTCCAGTTATTGGATTGTACTAATTTGCCCGGAGGATTGTAGGGGCCTAGGTAGGAGACTCCCTGTTCAGTCCTTCTGGCAGGTACGTTTTGCGAGGTCACCCCTTTTGAATGGCAGGAACTATACCAAGACTCGATTCCAAGGGTACGTGTATGAGTCAAAAGCCATGGTTCAAGCCAAATGTTTAGTTGTCTTCAACCGTTCAATAGATTTGCGCATGTTGATTTGTTTACTCCTGATACTGTGTCAAGTTGAGGCCGTTTTGTACAGTGATACAAACCACATTTGGTAGATGTTGTTTGCTCCTTGCATGGAATGTGAATCGAGGCCTTTGGAAGTCAGTAGGTCTTGAGAGACCCTTTTTTGGGTGGTTTCAAAGAGAAACCAAAGAGACAACCGCGACTATGGTGTCTCTCCTTTTGCAGTGTACCATGCATTCATTCATTTGCGGACTTTGAATCGAGTGGCCGAAACATATGGACCAGACTACCACACGATCACCCTCCAACGTCGAACAAGCCCACGGAGCAAGCCATCGGCAGGTCTTTCTGACGGAGCGCTTGGATGCGGAAACGTTCGCCTCCCAAGAGAAGATGCGGCACATGAACGCCGTGTGCTTCCTCAGGACTGACATTTCAAACTCAAAGCGGCAGGGTTAGGTCTGCCCAAAAAAGAGGCCACCAGGTTCATGACTGTGGGAGTTACGTTGCCGAGTTTGTTAAAACACAGGGCCCAGCGATGCAAATGTATCAAGGCCTCAGTCCTGCTTTGTCAGCCAGCTTGCACAATACTGGCAGCAACTTTCACACAACTGCATCCATCTTCTCATCCGTCCCGCTGCTCTCATGGATTTGTTTGGGACAAGCGAGCGACCTCTTCTACTGGAAGGTCTTGAACTGAATTGAAACGGCGTGCTGTGTTGCATTTATACCAACACCCTTCACCCAATGCAAATAACATAGGTCGAAGGCATCGACACGCTCACACCCTCTGACTTGTCTCAAATGAAGCATCCATGTTTGAACTTTTATGTGTTGTCTTCGTCTAGTTGCTGGGGCCAAAGTAAAAGCTTCGCGTTTGAACTTCAAACACCCTGGGATTCGAATCAGGTTTCTCCCAACAATCAGCTCACATGCGGGGTATCGCCCTGTGAGGCCGGAGAACAAGAACTTTCTGAAGCTCTCGCAAGAGCTGAAGAACCCCAAGTACAACGAGGCGCCGGAGGAAAAGAAAAAGCGCGTTCCACAGTTCCACAGGCTGCGGCTGAAGGTCCGGAGACGCTCACAAGAAGCTTTCTGATGGGCGGAAGTTTGATTTCCTTGTGGTACTCCGGAAAAGCATCATAGAAAGCTTACAGCAAAAGAGGGTTCCCCAAGAAGGCTCTCAAGAACGAAGGGCTTCATTGCAGGAGTGTAGTATGTCTTGCGTTCTTAGCCAGGCGTTTGTCGGATCGCTCACAGCCGGAAACTCTGCTGTTTACTTTTTGAGCCAAACAGCCGGACCGGTTCACTGCATGAAGCAAAGCGGGTTGCAGGCTTGGTGGTTTTCAATGGTTGCCCAGATCAAGCAAACGGAACTTTTCAGCCAGTGTTCTCGGGGGGGACCCAACACAAGTCACAATGTTGGCTGCCTTTTCGGGATGTGTTATAACACCCCAATAGACTGACTTGCCATGGATTTTGGAAATGTCTTACTGTTTTGGAGCATCTCTGCGCAAGCTGTTTTGCCATGTGCAAGGAGTATGTAACAATGACTTAAGCTAAGAGCCAAGGGGCCAAGCTTCCACCCCAAGCGATTCGTGGAATCGGTCCCTCGGTCTCTCGGTGGGCAGTACCACCTCTTCTTCACCAACTCGGTGCCCCACGTCCGTCTGGAAGCCCTGGCGGCCTGCGACGAGCACGAGCTGGTGAAGCAGGCAATTCGAGCCGTTGCCATATGGGCCCCCGGTTTGGAGCTGTTGGAAAACACGCGGCGGAGCGCCATATATGGGCATGGGTCAAAACATGTCAAAATCAAAGCACGTGGCTTTGCCATATGGGCATGGGTCAAAATTGAACCACCAACAAAAAACGATTTTAGTCCATGTTGCTATCTACCAGGGTTCCATTTTGGGTACCTATTGTTGACCCACTGCCATATGTGCAAAGGGTGATCGACCTTACCCACAAATAGTGGTGCTCCGTCGGTTTTCCTTTGAAAAAGAGCACCCTCGAAAAGCGCACATCCATGTACTAATCCGGAACCATGGCAAGGGGAGCCATTGCAGCCTAGAATTTCCAGGTGTTCTGCACCGTTGGCAACATTGGCTCGAAAGAGAGCATGGGCCTCTTGAAAAGATGAATTGAATGGTTACAACACAGGTGATCTGACCATGCCAAAGATTGATTGACCTAATATTGATCTGCATTGTCATGAAGACACGTAGTATACCAAGTAATTACAAGTGTGATGGCTTGATACCGTCCATGTGTTTTACTATGGATCGGCACACTCTGATGAGCTAGCCGAACAGCGTGGTCAAACGGGCGTCTTCGGGTGTGGGATCAATGGTTTCCACATGTCACTTTTCATCTTTTCATTCACTGAGTTCTGACTTTCTCTACTTACACGACTTACTGTTCTTTACGATAATAATGTATGCTGGTGTTTGTTGGATGTGTGAAATACGTCTAGTTAATTGCTTGCTGTGGGAAACATTGTTTACCGGTTTCGTAGAACCTTGTAGTCTGCAGGTGCAAGAATTCTTTGCGGATGTCTACGCTGCCGGACACACAGCCCGGGTACAAGGGCGGTGTTCCCAAAGAAACATAGCCGTGACTGACAAAGCGGTGAACTTGTTAGGACCCCCATGAAAGGCAACGCAACTCGTCACCGTCATTGGCGAAGCTCAAAAGCCCATGTCTGGATCCCCCAGAAGCCACCCATAGTCTGGAATAACAACAGCACTGATCGACACTCTCGGTTGACTTGGGCATGGCATTTATCATGATGCTGCACATGTTTTGAAATGGCAGCAAAGAAACACTTGCGAGGGAGCGAACAGGCCAGGCTTTGTCGTGTCGTGCCTGCTTTTGTTGTGTTGCTTATGCAGACCCTATACCACAGTCTCGTTCAGCTTGCTCAAAGCTAGGGGCTGCAATGCTGCCAACGCAGGCCTCCAAAGACGAGAGATCCGCCTGACTTGTCAGGTAATGCTTCAGCGAGACTTGTCGAGGGGAGCCGTGCCTTTAGTGAGCAGTTCTTGATGCGTCGAGAAATCATATTGTTTCTCCACAAAGCGGTCTAAGGTTGAACTTTCTGCATAAGGATGTTGGGTGATTTCTTTCTACGATGCTTGGCATGGACTCCGCTAGTGTCAGCAAACGAGAACAGGATCCGCCTTTTGGTTGAAATTGAGATGGACATCAAACAAAGCAAGGATGCGTTGGGATCCTCTAGATGTTTGAATCACCCGCGCATCAAAGGCTGATTACATGGCTCCCTTTGCGTAGCTGACAATCATGGCTTCGTGGGAAGCCTGCCACTAAAGCGGCTCCTCAAAGGGCATGGGTAGCAAGTGCTTGAACATGACGGGACATGGATGCACAGACCTCCCCAGGTAAAACCACCAGTTTGGGGGCTCAAACCCCTGTGTTGACGCATACATTTCGCCAAGATGAAAGCAACCAGTTTAGGGATCCAAATCCCTGTGTTGACACATGCATCGCGCCAAGATCAACCACGACCTTTTCTCCTTGAATCTGGAGTCTACGGTGCGACTTACAGAGGCCAGCGCCTGTCATATCCAAACCCCCCTTGCCCCCCCGGATATTTAGTTGAGGACAAGGAATCACCCCCAAAAAAGAAGCAACATGTTCAGGGCAAAAATGGAGGGCACCCATCGTCTTGGACTCCATGTTAGATATCTGTATAGGTTGCTGGAACCTGAACACAAACAATCAAATGTCAATCATCTATATGCACACAGCGTCTTGGATGTCATACTCAATTTGTGGGACATGGTACAGCGCACGACTCATTCGTGCCATGGTCGCTGGGTCACTGCAATTGAACACTTGGTTCATAGGGATAGGTATCAATCCCTGAAAAGGGAGTCTTTTGACATTTAGCGCGACCGTGATCATGCTCGTTGCAGCCACGGGTTTCATGGCACGTACAAATGTGCCAGAAGCAGGGGCCCCTGCCAATGGATGTATACTTATTAATTGGTTTTCCCTGCTCGAAAATGAGTCTGGACGATTTGCAAACCGGCCAGCCCCAAATTGTTGATTCCATAAGGGCTTTCCAGGCTTTCCAGAACCTTGCCCCAGCCCCACACGGCTCCGGGGAGGTTTCCACAACTTGCTAACGCACTATGGCAGCGACTTGCGTTGGGTTTTTGTAGTTGAGCTGTGCCACAACCTTGTGAAAGAGCCGATCACGGGCACTCTTATTTTTCTTGGCTGCCTGCATGAGTGGATGTGTGAGTGGGTGGGTGGGTGGATGGGTGGGTGGTGGGTGGGTTGGTTGGTGTGTGTGTGTGATGTCTTGGTGTGTGTGTGCGGAGTGGCAGAATACCCTGCCACCAAAACTTTGTTCTTCAGCAGGGGGCGCAGGGAGTTTCAGCGAGTCCTGCGCCAACGAAGACGCTCGCTGTTAACTCGTGATATCCAGCCTGATCATCTGGACGTACCTGCAATTGTGATGTTTGTGAATGTCCTTTTGGTCCCCTCCCTGAACCGCCGTTGCTTCTGTGTGTCCCTGTTAAAGTAGCTACAGGGAAGCCAAGTGTATTGCGAGCCGAAACTTGTCGTACTCGAGACTTACCAGTTGTACTCGAGACTCATCAGTTGTACTCGAGACTCATCAGTTGTACTCAAATGATTAGCACCCTCTCTTGGGAGTTGAAGTGTGATCACCCCATCTTGGGGGAACCTCGGGTGTACCCATCGTGTGACCCCGGGCCGGTTCGCCGGAAAATTTGACCTCAACGTTCTTATCACAGCTCAGCGGAGTTTCACGTTTAAGCAGGAACGAGGTTTCACTAAAGGGAAGACAGCCGTCATTCTTTCTTCTCGCCTTCGTCTTCCGCGTGCCCGTCTTCTGGTTCTTCGCCCGCCTAGGGATGGCTTCTCCTTCCTCCCGTTCTCTTCTTGCTGCCTTTCGTGACCCGCGCGTTCGTCCTCCTCCTCTTCGCCCGCTTAGGGATGGCCTGGTTGTCCTCGCGTTGCTCACCTTTTTCCTCGTCTTCGTCTTCTTGTCCGTCTACCTGTTCCTACTCCTCTTCTTCCTCACGTAGTTTGGCTTGACGTCTTCTTCCCCTTCCGTTGCTATTTCGTGTCCGTCCTCTTGGCCCCCGTGTGGGATTCGACGTCTTCCTCCTCGAGCCTTGGTCTTCATCCTCTGTTCCTGTCTGGGCGGGATGCGTCGCCGTAAAAACGCATACTACATCTCTCTTCCTCTTCCTTCTTCCTTCTTCCTTCTTTTCTCTTCTTGTCTCCTGCTTCTTTTCTTTGCTTTTCTGTTTTCTCCTTGCTCCTCTCCCCGGGCGGGCTGTGGCGCCCTAAATACGCATCTCGCTCCCTTTGTCTTCTTTTCTCTTCTTCTTCTTCTCTTTCCCTTTCTTTCCTTTCTCCTTCTCCCGGGCGGGCTGCGGCGCCCTAAATACGCATCTCGCCCCCTTTTTTGTTCTCTTCTTGTTCTCTCTTTCTCGCTCTCTCTTTCTTTCTTTCCCTCTTTTCTCCTCCCTCTTTTCCAACTACTTCCTGTTGTTCCTCTTCGCCCGTTTAGGGATGGCGTGTTCGTGGTGTCGTTCTTCAACTTCGCGGTGCTCTTCTTCTACCAGGTTTAGGAGGGTTTCTAGGCTGTTTGGGGTTCTTTGCCCTCGGCGGTGACCATAAGCTCGGGTTCCCCTGTTTTTCGTGTTTCTTGGTTAGGTTTTGCCCGCGGAGACCCAACGTGGGGCCTTTCTGTTTCCTTTGTTTTCCTGCTCTGTTTGTTTTCTGTTGGGGTCTTCGCCCGGTTTTGGGGCGCGTGTTTCCCCCCGAAAAAGTGGATCTCGCCCCTCTTTGAGGGGCGTGTGTGTGCGGAGTGGCAGAATACCCTGCCACCAACACTCTTTTCTGCAGCAGGGGGCGCAGGGAGTTTCAGCGAGTCCTGCGCCAACGAAGACGCCCGCTGTTAACTCGTGATATCCAGCCTGATCAGCTGGACGCACCTGCAATTGTGATGTTTGTGAATGTCCTTTTGGTCCCCTCCCTGAACCGCCGTTGCTTCTGTGTGTCCCTGTTAAAGTAGCTACAGGGAAGCCAAGTGTATTGCGAGCCGAAACTTGTCGTACTCGAGACTTACCAGTTGTACTCGAGACTCATCAGTTGTACTCGAGACTCATCAGTTGTACTCAAATGATTAGCACCCTCCCTTGGGAGTTGAAGTGTGTGCAGTTGCGTCCAGCGTTCGCGGCCAGCTGCTTGTCAAGCGTGTCATTTGTACGTGTGTGTTTGTGTGTCACCCAAACTTGGAGAACCAGCTGAACAGTCTTTAGAAAAATGATGCTTGGGAACATTTGAACAGTTGACAAAGTAGGCCTTTTGCTGTAGCACCTCCAAACGGGAAAGCTAGAGACCCAGGTAGATATTCGTAGCCCCGGGAATATGGTTCGTTCTTTAGTCACGCGTGTGTACCAGGGGGGAACCGCGCTGGGGCCAACTGTTCGGCTCCCCCTACCAACCAGACAGGTGTGTCAGAACCCTTCTCTTCTGAAAGGCCGGCTGGCCGGCTGACAACACTGCGCAGGTTGCTGTTTTGTCCATGCCCATTTCCAGTTGAACGCACCGCTTGGGTTTCTTTGAGAAGGCCACCCTTGACACCTTCCTAAGCACGTAAGCCTTGCCATTGGGAACTACCCGACGACTTTGGGATTGCGAACGGTGGCAACATAGTTGAACAACCAGCCCCACTTCAGTGCCCTTAGGCCAACCAAAATGCGGATGTGTTTGGTTAACACTCTTTTTCGTTGAACGCACGGATGTGCGTCTCAAAGAAAAAAAAGAATTTGCGCCCATTCATAAGTGGCTTCCCTTGGCTTCCCTTTAATAAGGCCAGCCAAGAAAGGCTGTGGTTTCCAGCATGTCGAAGGGCCTTTGGACAGCCGAGTCCCGGAGGACCAGTCGAGATGGACCTCTTTCCATGAGAAGCTCTTCGATCGAATCATCGAGGACAGGGGGCCATCGAAATCCAATGGATTTGGACAGTGGGCTGAATCGAAATGACAGCAGTTTTCACCTATCAGCTTCCATGATTGGGGGAGCTTAGAACATGCAGGTTATGAAAGAGTGAATGAAAGCAGATGGCACAACTCCGGGGGAAGTAAGGTGACAAGGCGATGGGGTGCCATCTACTTTCAACAAAAGAACACTTCAAACTATCTGTTGCTAGTTCTATCCCCGGTGAATGCCTCCAGAGTTGAGGGAAGCATAGGCGGCATGACCCAACTGGCAAAAACGCAAAGTGGCTGGGAAGAGTTGTCACGAATTTGGGTGGCAGTGCTTGTAGTGGACTTTAGGGCATTGCTAAGACATGGTTACGAGTTAGTGTATATCACCACACGAACCCCCGGCAATTGAATAGTTTGTTGCGTGAATGCATGATTTGGCTTCTGCATGATAGCCTTTGTAGAAGCTTGTGTTGGTTCGTCATGTTGCACAAACACATCTTGTGGCATACTCAGATGTCTTGGCAACACGTCACCGCCTGTCATTGACTTGCGGTCCCCTTACGTATTTCAGTATTTCAAGGCTTTGCGGAATCATCTAGTGACCCAACACTCTCAACTTTAATTTGCTTGCCTGTTGATTTGACCAGAGATGACCATGATCCTTCTGGAACTACCATTTTGCTCTCAGAGGCGGATCCCCTATTTCAGGTTTGGGAGATAGAACACAAATTGGCTCGATCAATCCGTTTTGGTGCTGGCTCCAGTCAGATGATAGGTGCTGCTTCTCTCATTGTCTCATTGCTCAGATACTGGCAACTTATTTGAGCCGCCCAGGAACTGCTTAAAATAGCTCGCATCCCCACCTCCCAAAGGGCTCCAATTCTTTTCTACCAGTGTCACTGGATCGGAGATCTTTTTCACTTGGGAGCTTGATTTGCGGGTACCCTTTCTGGTATTGCTCTAAAGGGGGAACCAAACCACACCCAATTCGGAGGGTTTCTAACCTATGTTCCAACCTGCACTGGTAATTTCTGGCCCAAGAATGACGTCGCAGGGGCTTCTGGCGACCTGTTTCACTCTCCGGATGCTGCCTGCGATCCGCTACACTGGGTCGCCTGGACACCCAGAGGTGTCATGCCACGTCTTTGTTTTTGTTGTTTCTTGAGGGTGTGTTCCGAAGTAGCCTGGGGTCTCCTCCAAGTCCATTTCCCTTTCCAGGTTGACTAACCAGCACAAAAAGCCCTGAAGCCATGGTCATTCCGTGAGTGATTCAAGGCTCATGGTGTTGCTTGTAGCGTCCGAGCTTTGACCTAGGCGTGAAGCGCACAAGCCATGGGCCATTGCAGTTGCTTGGACCCACTAGGCAACATTGTTAATAGATGTCTTGTCTTTGGCAGCACCTGTTTGTTGACAGGATCAGCAGCCAAACAACGTCAATCAATAGAAAACCGACCACCTTAACAAACAGAACAGATATTCATCTATTCTTGGACTGCTCTTGCCCGCCAGAACCATCCAGTCTCCCAAGCAGCTGAATTAGCTTGACCAGCAATCGAGATGTATAAGGGATGTGCATCGGAGGGATGTTTGAAACAAATAAAAACCAAAGGCGACATTTGCCTTATCCGTGTGTGTGTGTGTGCATTTTGCTCGGGTCAGCATTCCGAGCATTTTAGGCTTTGTGTGCTGTGCTTGTAGCTTTTAGTTTGGCGTCCAAAATGGCGGCTTTTGCAGGGCACGAGCAGGTCTTTAGACGAAGCCCAGACGAAGCCTAAGCCCAGCTTGTTCCCACCCGTCAGGTTTGGGGTCGAGAAAAAAACCGGCGCAAGACACCTGTGACAGACCCAATTTCAACAGCTGTGGCAGTTTGTTCCAGGACCTTCATGAGAGCCCAAAGCCAGATTAGATTGTCTTGCGGGTTTTGGCGATGCCTGTCAAGCTTGCCGGCCTATTCATTTGCGTTTTGATTTCTTGCAGGTGCTGCGCCGCGGCCGTTTGGCGTACTGCACGCTTGAACTATTCAGTCTCTTTCCTTGGCAGACAACACGCTGGCAAGACAGTGGAGCAGTGGTTTGCGAGGGTCTTCTTGTGGGAGATGCACGTGGTGTCGGGAGAGCGCAGGGTTACGGTTTGTTGGCCTGCCCTGACTGATTCAGTCCAGCTTAGCCAAGCAAATTTCTCCGGGAAAGTAGGGCATTTGTTTGGAACGTTGGCTCGGCGGAGCAATCGCGATGGATGAGAAGCACCTTCGTGTCAGCCAAGGTTAGAGCAGTCGCCAGAACCCTTATGCGCCAGAGGTGGAAAATGTTTACAGGTTTTGTCTTGGAACGCTGCCTTCATTTGACTGATATTGACCCGCTCCATCTTCTGACGGGTTAGTCTACTATTGGCAGTGTTTTTTTCAAGTCTTGTACCTCTTTTTTCTCACTGGCAAGGTGACTTGCCTGCTGGGGTCTTGGTAGGTACCATTTTCCCGTCTTGCCAGGCAATCAACAATCGGGGTTGCGTCCCCAATAAGGGTGCTCTGAAGCAAGTTACCCACACACACCAATTTAAGATTACCATTCAAAAACCGCAGAGCTATTTGAGCCTTTCCCTGTTTTCAGACCTGGATGTTTCAGCGGCATGGGGGAGCAGTTTGCGGAAGCATGCCGAGGTGCGATCTTACACGAAAGCTTGCGCATCAGCTTCAGGCAAGGTTCTGACGTTGCCGCGGCGTCCACCATTTTTTACTGGGTGTTGTTGTTGTGTTGCGAATCCCATCTCAAGTAGAATGTGCAACAGCCAGTGCTTGATGTTTTGTTGTCTGAACAAGTGGCAACAGGTGGCCCCAATCCTAGCAGCTGGCAATAGTACCAGAGTAACACCGGCTTTTGATTTTGTGAGGGGAGCAAAGAAATTCCATCAACTTGATGCCCATGCCTTGTCAACATGTCGGCAGTGGCGTGGTGGCTGCTGTTGAAGGCATGACCATGGTCCAAAACTCAACATGCGGGAACACCCATTTAACACCAAATACAAGCTGGCGTTGCCTCTTTAATGTGATCGTTTCCTCAATTGTGCGCTTGTTTGTTTGGTTCTTTACATGGTTTTCTGCTTGATGTGTTTGCTTGCTTGCTGGTGTGCTATACAGCGAGAAGGGCTCCCTTTCAAATTAAACAGCCAAGAAAAGGGATTTGTTGTCCCCCATGGCCACTAGGCTTCCCTAGGCCCTAGGCACGGGAGTTGAGACTGAGTGGCTTCCAGACGCGGATCCACGAAGAGCAGAGCCTCTTTGATGGCATCATGAAGGCCCAGAAGGGCGAGCCTACGCCCGCCCGAACCTAAGGCCTGAGGTTCTTGTGCATTTGTGTAGGGCCCAAAGGGTTGAAACCAGTGAAACGCCGCAATTGTGTTTCTCTCGCTTCAGGTTCTGTTTGGTAACCCCTAATTTGTGGTGTGGATTGAGGATTGGAACCCCTGGTTGTTGAGATCCTCCGAGTCTTGTTTTTCTCAAACCTTGCCGACCTGGAAGGGGGCCCTTTACTAATCAGGGGAAATCATAACATGCGAAACCACCCCCTTACCTCCAAACCACCAATTAGAAGGAAGCTGAGCGTCTGCACTGTACACTTGTTGGAGGATCATGTAAGTAAGAAGCAACCATCACAAGTGGCCTGCACGTTGCCGGATTGTGATGCTTCACAGACTTCGTGTCACCTTCTTGTCACCCAGCCTTTGTTCATTCGAACCAATTCTGAGTGAGCATGGACGAACTGTTGCGGCACACTGGAGCATTGCTCATGAATCGTGATTTTGCCGTCAAGTACCTGGGTGATGGCACTGAGGTCCTGCTGCTGTTCGATCGCAGGACGGGATCCAAAACCCAAAGCTGCGAGCATTGTGCGTCTCAGACGTTGTCCCTGGCACTTTGTTTTGTTTTGAGCATAACATTAGCTCATATCAACTTAACATCAACCAAGAAGATGACAGCCAGACACATGGCCCAGTTACCATAATTACAAAGAAATCAGCGTTCAGCGGGCAATTTATAATGGCTTGTGGTGGGTTGACTGTTCTCGATAGGAATCCAAGCAGGTGCCACGCGTCGTGCCATGTCGCTGTCTCTGTAGTAGGCACTGCTAGGGCGGGAAGTCCTCCCTTGTTCCCCATTCGCAATACTTATGGAATCAACCAGGCGGGTGCTCACGTGTTTACGTGGCATGAGGGGTTTGCCCAGGAACGATCCTGTGACTCCCTTGCTGCAGCAGTGGACCTACCAGGCGGGTTTGGATTAGATTTCTAGGGTTGATTCTGTTCAACCGGTGTTCTTCTCAAAACCCTTCGACGGCTTTCTGATTTTCCGGCACTTTGGCACGGCGCTGAACATAGTCCTGACATCACTCTGGGCAAATCAGATCGGGGCAGTTTGCGACCTACACCCATGATGAATATGGTTCCTGTCAAAGGCTTTGAAGGAAACTCTTGAAGTATTACAACTCATTTGGACATGTATTTCATAATCAACTCCAGTGAGAAGAATTGAACATCAACTTGGTCAAAACCTGTCTTCAGAAATGTTCAAGCCGAGTTCGGATAGCATTTCCGGTTGGCTTCGGGTTGGCTTAGGTTTTCAACCTGGCAGATTTTGCGCAGCGGCAAGTGCCCTCCCGAACGTGGAACTTGAGCAGACCCAAAAGGGGCCATTGACTTTTGAAAGGGGCATGCAAGGTGTCATGCCGTTTGTGTATGACCAACTGAAATGCACATGATGGAAGCGCCCCCTAAAACGAGATTCCGCTCAGTTGGATGTTTTCTTGTGTTCCAAGTGGGTGTTTTGGTTGTCACCATCACTCTTGAGGCGATACAAGCCTTGTGTGTTTGTTTGTTTGTCCGTGTTTTTCTGGAAACGGGAGTTGAACCGGATATGTGGCCCATGTTTGAAGGGACCCCAAACATGGATTTCACGCTTCTGGGTGTCCCGTTTGTTGAAAAGAAATAGGGCACCCTCGAAGAAAGAAATACCCACATGTGGAAGGTGAGGCCTGGTTGGACTTTGTCTTTGAACGATCGTGTTCAAGCGGAATTCTAAACGGCAGTTGGAAGGTACTGGAGGGGTCCAACTGTCGGCATAGTCACGGTAGTCTTCCATTTGCTTAGGCTTTGTTGTTTTGTTTTGCCTTGCTGGTTTTACAGGGAATCTATCACTACTGAAATAGTATTTTTGTTTTCCCTTTCAGGGGTTAGGGGGCTGAAGGAAATGCAAGAAGTAGTCTCCCAATCCTGGTCAGTGTTGACTGTTGAAGGGAGGATACCTTTGTTGCCCGCCAGTTTATGTGGCGACTGTACAATCACAACTGTCGCACTAAATGTCTTCCAACATGGTGACACACAACTTTCAAGCGACCCTTGCGGCCAAACCTCAGGCTGGTGCGGTGCTTAACGTGTCTAGACACAAACTGCTCCCTCTCTCTCTCTCACTCACACACACACACATGTCATCTTTTGGGCTGCTTTTGTAGAAGGTTGGCAGGGATGTTCATCAGCAGTATGATTTGAAGTGTTGGGATGAGTCATGCATGCTAGTTGCGACCATGTGCCAGACCGACCCGCGTTTTGCCCAGCAGAGCTGGCTGATCGGGAAGTTTCTGCTTGATGCCATAGTGAGACCAAAGGACACCGCGCTGACTGAGTTCATTGACACCATTGTTTGAAGACGGGACATGGTTGCTCCTCTTAGCCGTACAGGCTTTAGGCACATGAGTGTATATCAACGCGAGTCTTCAACTTGGGATCTGGAGTGGACGGTGCTTGAAGGAATTCTGCTTTGGACCCATGACAAACGGAGGCATTGCAGCCCAGTGACTAGGGAGCATCACGATTCGCGACCATGGTCCCCCGACTTCAGGAATCGTAGCCAACCAAATGCGTGCCCAACACCCCCCGGTGAACATGTGCAGGCAATGGTCCATGAGATCCTGAAGCTGAGCAACAACCTGGTGGAGCTGAAGAAGGCGGAGTTTCCAGCATGGAGCTGTCAGCACGGAGCATGGCGACGCTGGGTGTCTCATATTTTGAGTGTACCCCTTTGGGGACCTAGCGAAACCACAAGGAAGCCATCTGTTTGGAGGCTCCAAAGTTCAAATCCCGATTTTGAGAACCAAAAGCCTTGGTCCCACCAGTTTCATGGTTTGCTCCAGAAGGGGGAACGCTGCAAATTGTAATGAACTAGGGGGTGATCAGGGAAATCCAGTTTGGGAGTTATAGTTGTTTAATTGCCAGATTGGGAGAAGCCCAAAATGGTTTGTTTCCGTTTGGTTGCCCTTCAACAGCAACCAAAAGTGGAGACTCCGTCCAGGTAGGCGATTTCCTGTTGGTTCCCCCTTTAAACCATCCAAAAAGGGATCCCCTACAATGCTGGGGGAGAGCTGCTGCAGAACAGGGATCCCCTATTTTGAGAAACCCTATGTGTTCCACAAGCGAAATGCTTTCTTGTTTCCGCCATTCCTCGAGGGCGATGACTAGAAACCCGCAAGCCACATTTGGTTTCAACATGTTTGCCGCGTTTCCAAAAGTGTTCCCTTTGCCTAACATGTATTTTGTTTTTCTTTTCACAGAGGTTTTCTTTGTCGAAGCGGGGTTCCTTCGTCTACCAGGGTGGCTGTTTGCCAGTACATGCCCCTGAACGTATGCCTTTAACATTGCGCCTACACTCAGACAATGTGCTGGAGAAGGACGGTTTGTTGTCAAAGATGCCGGACCATTTTGACCCCCCCCACCCCCAGTTTGCTTGAAAAGTCAAGGTTGCCAGGTTGCCTCTCAAGGCCCCTCAAGGCTCTATCTACACTTTCAGGGGTCCCTTGATTTGACCGAGTCAAAAGGCAATCCAATGTGCAAGAGAGTGACCGATCACTCAAATTGCAAAAAAACTGAATGCTTCGACAATGAGGCATGGGTAAGTGACACAACTTGATGGTGCTGCAATTTCAACTGTTACTCGAAGAACGTTTAGGAAGACCTGTTTTCTATAGGGTTATCCGGATGCTTGATGCGCTTCGCCTCCTGTTCGGCTCACCAAGTTGGCCCCCATTTGGCTCAGCGCGCCGCAGCATGGCAAAGGGGCATCAACGCAAGCCCCGCCTTAGGGATTTGTGCGTTGTTAGCTCTGAGGAGCCTGGGGGCACAGGATCAATCACTTTCGGTTTCATTCACCCCAGATGCAGTCTTGCTTCAGTTGGGAAGCGCGGCTGTTTCCCTGCTTTCATCACGGGCGTCACTTCACAGGGCATGTAGATTTGGTATCATTCTGCTTAGATTCTTTTTCTGGCGACTCTTGTGTGATGATTGTTGTTCATGTTCCTGCGTGTAGCCATCTTGACACGTCAAGATGAAAGCTTAAATATATAATTATGTGGCAAACCATCCCGGAACGGTCTAGCCACGGCTTTATGTTTCCCCCTGCAGATTAAGATGGCACCCAACAAACTTGTTTTAGAGGACCCTCGGTTGTTTTGCAGCGGAGTACCATCTGCCTTTGCACGCCAAACGCAGGGGACAGCAGCGCCGGGGGGGCAGCAAGAGGTGGAGAAGATCGTCATGTCGCCACTGCAGGACGCAGCAATCCCGAAACTTTGGAAATGCCGCCGGGTGGATGGACAAACGCCACATCGGGCACCTACTTGGGATGGAAGAAACCTGGTTTGAATACTGGGCTAAACCAACTACCTGCGGGTAAATCCGCTTCGCACACTTGGTAGGTGGTTTATAACATGGTTCACGGAATTTGTTTTCATCTCAACCGGTGCGAAGTGGATTTCGTGCATCCACAGCAGCTCTTGGACAACGATTAGCTGATTTCACGAGTTTTCTTCTATTTAGTTGTAACTTCCCAGTTCTCACCCCTGCGATCCTTCATTCCAGAAAACCACCAACAAAACCCAGGAAGAGGGCCGGCTTTTGAAACCGATGGTTGAAGATAATTAGGAATCAACTGGACTTCTGCACTTGGATCGTGTTTTAAGTCCTTGTGGGCAAGCTACCAGAGCGTCCGAAACCTCCGTGTACATGTTTAGTAAGAGTCGTAGGCAGAATGATACGACATAGCTAAGCATGACACGTTTAGGACATGGTTCTCTACTCATGTATATACAACTTGTGGGCTGTGAGGTGCCAGTTGCTGCACAGTGATGGAGTGTCCAAAAGCACACAGGAGAGCTGAGCATTTGGAGGGATCCCTTAGTGGGAAACGCCCCAGAGCCTTTCCGTAGGTTGAGGCAGCTGACTCTTGCGCTTCACTGCACCCAGCCAATTTTAGCTCACATATTCCATGGTCAAACCATCCCCGGTTAGAAGCCATGGAGTTGGGATAAACAGTCGGTCCATGCTACGAGTCCCATGGCAAAAGAAACCTTTGACCTTGGATGCAATATAGAGCTTACAGAAGCCAACATCTCGATCTGAAAGAAGGACTAAAAACAGATTGATCGGCACATTGGCTTTTTCATGCTGCGGAAAAGTACTCTAGTGGCTGCCCTGCCTCAAAGTTTCCAGAATCGTTGGCTCCCTGGGAATGCATCCAATCGTATGCCGCAGAGTCCCAAGATCCAAGCTCCAAGGGTCCAAATGGGTCCAAATGGGTGCCTTCGGGACTTGGATCGAGAACCAGATTCAGTGGCAGGAACCAAGCCCGTCTTGCCCCTCTGCCCCTCCCTCCCTTGGACACATTGAGTTCTCCAAGAGGAAGCTGGCAACAACGATTGGGGCAAGGGCCTGATTCGGGCATTGAGGTAGTGTCACCAAAAGTCCAAGAGCATCCATGACGCCAAATGTAATGGAACCCCAACTTCAACAAAGTTACCCGACTCTCACTGGCAACCTTTACTATCCAATGTGGACATTGAGCCACAGCACAAGTGGACACAACTGGCGGCTAACTTGGGTCAGCTTTGGTGCCCAGTACCTCGTCAAGAACGCATGCCATGGTGACAGCAGGTTGGCGGACCGCAGAGTGGTAAATGAGCTTCTTTGGACCCCTTTGTTCAAATCACATGTGTTTGGATGGATGAAGGCCAAATACTTGGGCACACTGCCGTAAATCACCTACCAACTGAACTACGAACTCAGAGAATTCTATGAGGATTAATAACATAGTGATCCTTCCCACAGGGCGGTTTGCGCTTGCGACATTTGAGAAAGATCCAGTGGACAGTAGTCCCTTTGCCATTTGAGCTGGTAGGTCCTTTTTCCAGTATTGGTCCATTGCACATATCCCTATCATCAAATTGTGTGTCGTTTGGGTTGTGCAACTTTATTTGAAAGGGTCTAAGAAATGTCCCCCCCCCCCTGCGGGTAAAAGGAAGAACACTTAGTGATTGATCCTTCATGTGGCCTTTATGCCTTCGGTTGGGACGTGATGCTTGGTCGTACTGGGATGTGGAGGACCAATTCTTTACAGACAATCTGTATTCCAACTTTGGCGACCTGGGCGTGAACATCCGGAAGTATGCCAAGAGCTCAGAATGAAAAGGCGTCAAAAGGTCAGACTTTGGACACTGAAAGTCTGCATCTGATATGATATGACAAGTTTGGCGCTTTGCACGTGTTTGGCGCTTCGCGCTATCAAGCACTTGTGTGCTTCTGGACCTGTCCCCAAATTGGAGAATCAGATTGCAGAATCCGGTCCTTCCTGGTGATTGGCCAACGTCCCTTTGGCCACGAGGACTCTGTTGTTTGCTTTTTGCGTGGGGTGGCTGTTGGCCTTCTGCCTCACATGTCATGTGTGATTGTGGCGGTTTGTCGGAAAGCTGTGTCTTGCTCGGGTCCAAAGGTTCACACTGTAAACAGCCAGGCACCGCAGTCGGAGTCAAAGGAACATTGGGTTCATCCCCGACAGGTCAGAAGTTCACCAAGGTTCTCATGATTCGCGGGTATCAACCTGACCAAAAGGAATCCAAGGGAAATCAACCTTTACGGTTTCCCTAGTTTAGCAAAACCAACTGTGTTTGCATTCTGCATTTTTGGCCCTTTCTGCCCATTCAGGTCGAGAAGTACCAGAACGAGACAAAGAACACTGCCAAAATTGAGTCCATCGAGGAGTGCGCTATCTGTGGGCCCATGGAATGCTGGCGTGTTTCCGTCGATTGTAACTTATCCTTTCCATGTCTGTGTCTTCCCCACATGCCCCAGACGTGTCCCCTCTATTTTCCGTATACTTCCCATCCGGCTCTCGGTGGGTTTTCCATGCGATTCCCGTGTCCCATTTGTTTCCCATGTGTTTTTCATATGTTTTCAAGAGATTCCCATGTGCGCCCCTTGTGCTTCAATGTGTTTCCAATTGGTTTCCCAGTTATTCATTTGCTGCCCATGTGATTGTCCACACCTGATTTACATCAATGTTCCATGCTGCTGGTTTCGCATGATTGTTTCATGGGTTTCCCATATGCATTGGCTGTGCTTCCCATGTGTTCTTCATGTGCTTTGCAACCTCTCATGTGTGTGCTGTGTGTTTTCCCTCATGTGTTTTCTATGTAAATCCGATTTGTATTGAATGCTTTCCCATTGATGTTCCATGTGTGTTTCCTATGTGGTTTGCATTTGTATTCAGCGTATTTTCCATTGGCTGTCCAGTGTGTTTCCTATGTGTGTCCCATTTGTATTTATATTTATGCAAAGTATTTCCCATCGGTCTGGTGTGTTTGTCCTCCGTATTTCCCTGTACTTCCCAAGGCTTCTTCTATTTTCATTGGTGTTTCATGGATTTCCCGTGTCCATGCATTCCTAGTGGATACCCATGTGTCTCCTGTGTGTTTTCCGTGTGCCGCCTACGATCACAACCATGCGTGTTTTCAGCAAGAATTCGGCCCACATGTTTTACATGACGAAAGCTGCCTCTTGGATACTAAATGGAGGCAAGTTTCCCTCTTGCAATCCCTTGTTCAGAACATGAAGCTGGTCATCTTTCCGTCTGAGCCATATAACCTGTCTAGATGTTGAATGTTATTTGGACTTAGTGGGAGGACTGTGCAAGTCAAAACAAGTCAAGCCCGAAGTAAATACCTCCTATTGAAACACGAACCACCCCCAAATTGCGAATTATTGTCCTTCTCCGCGCAGGAGATGCAGCGCTTCGTGGATGAGTACCCTGAGTTCCGGCGGATGTCAGGCACGTCTTGGCTTTGCAGGCATGGCTCACTTCTCAGGTGGCCCTTAATTGTCTAAGACGCCAGTGAAATTCTGCATTTCCGGTCGGGATTCCTGTGGCTGTTTTCTATGACCCTAGTGGTGGTTTCGATTGGTTTGGGGGTCTTGCCTAGCCAAGAAGGATTTGAACCCATGGAGATGTGGTTTGTCTTGTGGTGTGCCGCTATGGATTGTCGCGGGTTAGGATGACTAGAAAACCACCCGTGCTGAACAACTGATTTGTCCACTTAGTTTCGAACTGGGTTCTTTCAAACTAAGGCATCCAGCTAGCCAAGCTTGCTGCACCCTAGATTGCAGGGCGATGTTTCAGCGTAAGGAAATCTATGTTTGTGTATGTGTGTCCTGTCCTAAGTTTCCAGACAGATTTCGCTCGGCCCAACCAAGTCTTCCTTCTGTGGGCTGTTGCCCTAGAGATCCTGGCTAGAAAAACACGGCTGCCGAGTTGATCCCATTTGAAGACACAGACACAGGGCTGCTTAAAAGATACATGTTTCCCGTCTGAAACATGGCTTTTTCCACCAAGACAAAGGGAAATCACCATTTACAAGGCAATGTTCAGGTGTATAATGTAAGGATCACTGAAACACCATTTGGGAAGAAGGTTGACTGGTGACACATGCCCACTTTCGAACAAAGGAAGTGGACAGGATAATTCCCCAAAGAGAAGTTAGTGTCCCGGTGCCCTTTTGGGTGGCCAATGTTTCACCCAAACAAATTCGCTGCCTAGGATTTGCGGATAGCAGCGAGAGTACTTTAGAAATTCCAGGATCGTGGCACCTCTAGCCCTTTTTTGACAACAACCACCGCTTCCCTTGAGCCAGTCATAATGAGCAACATGATGTGAAAAGCCACTTCGGCCCTCGCCCAAATGTGGGCTCGTTCTGGAGAACACAAAAACAAATTGCAATGTTTGATCAATCAGTTTTGAACTTGAATCAAGCAATGCGTTTTTCGGGATGGTGCCCCTTTGCGGGAGACCCACCATTTTTGGGCATCCCGCAATTCTGGGACACCCCCTATTAGGGGCTCGGTGCCTCGCCTGAAACGGCGCATTTCACCCGCGCAAAGCACCAGAAAAGCGCACGGAGGCAATGTGTCCAAGCATGTGAACGTGGTTAGCGAGCTGCTGGCGCCTCAGGGTTACCGGAGAACATGGGATGACCATTGCCTGGTAAAACCACGACAAAAGATATGTGGTACATTGCAACCACTAAATGGAATGAACAGTTACCCATGCTCATTTTGTGGGGCCGAGCTGAATATAGTCGACCCCATCTGAGCTTTGGTCAACATCAGTTGATTAGGGTCCATTTGGTCCGCGACGTGGGGTGCTCAAAAACAAAAGTCCTGCACGAATTCAAGGGACTCACTATGTTTGTCGATGTCCTCTTGGGGAAATCAGCAATTTTGACCGTGGCTCATTCTGGACAAATTTGGACGAGCTCACCTGGGGGTAAATGACCTCACCAATACGAAAGCTTGGCCCTTTCGTAGCATTGTACTTTGCAACATGGCCTTTAATGCCCAGAATGCAACGATTCAAAAAGAGCTAGGTGGACATGCTTTATTAAAATGCAAAGGTTCAAACATGTTAGCCGCCCCTGATCAATTGAGGCAGCAACATGAAAGCATCGCTGGTGGAACGTGGGATCGTCCTGGGGCCCATTCACAACCAGGTGCCCACGTCACAAGGCAAGTTGTCATTCTTGGATTATCCAATGTAGAATTACACCAAAGGGTTGTTGATATCCAAAGAAGGGCAACCATTTCCTTGGTTCAAGTCTACCTTGAAGTTATCCAAAATGGAGCCGTGCCACAAAGTGCAGCCATGGCACCGGCTGCAATTCGACGCTCAGGTCCAATCAGATTGAGGCACACGCTCTTCTGGAGGCCAAGCCGCTGAATTTGGTTCTCGCACTTCCTAGGTTGTACCCACTCCCTGCGCACAAATTTGGTTTCATTATGCATAATGGCAAAGTCTCTTGCCGCGCCGCAGAGTGGCGGACCAAAGCGCTGACTCAACACTTGTCCAAGACTTCACGGGACTGCATCGATTGCACTCAGGGATGGTGTCCCAGCTCGCCCTTGGAACATTCCATGAGCCCGATTGGAGATGGCATGCCCGCTTGACATCAGTATCCCCACCCCAGTCGCGTGCACGCCGCTGGCGCTGAGCCGTTGGCTTAGACGGCTTCGCAAAGGTGAGCTCATGGCGCCTTGGCAGCAGTCGGACACGTTTTTCCTTTTCCACCCTGCGTGTTGATCTAATTGAAGCTTACATCCCTACAGGACGGTCAACTACAAAGGGCCCACTTCAGATTAATTTGGAAGCTGAACAGCACGCCCATCAACAGGGAGATCTTCTTTTGGGGACGTTCTAGGGAAGTACATTTAACCTCTCTACGGGTAAAACGCGCATCTCTGAGTGAAAGCAAATGGCGACCAGACAGCAGGTGCGTTACCACAAAAAGACATCGGCCAGTTTGAGATTCGTCGTTGCAGCGGAATTATTGAATGCTGTTGTGACATCCGCAACTACTGTGATGCTTCCATCGGTCATTAATTCAATGGCCAGTAGCCATGGTTCTCATCCACTGTTTTCCCGCTGGAAGTCCTTTAATCTGGGCAGCAAGCCGCTTCTGAAGTGGCCGATTGCGGCAAATAAGGCAGGGTGGCCCCAACCCTCTTCAAGGAGGACCAACACAAAGGATAGAGCATTGATATTGTGTTCCTTCTTTTCCTTTGACACCTCAACCCAACCCAATCAACCGTTGTGCCGATCGAATCAGTCGAATGGAAAGAACCCTGTCAGAGCTTTAGCACTACTTGCACAAAGCGATAAGATCAGATGAATAAGTACCTTGAAAGTTAGTTGGAACCTATACGTGATGAAGTATGAACCTTATCAGCAGACGATCAGATAAAGTCACAATCAACAGATCATGCAACTGGTCGTCTTGAGTTAAAGAGCTAGCACCTTCCCTGCTCCCAACTGTATTGTCAACACCCAATGCAAGAGGTGGGAGTTCAATTCCCTCGGGGAAGGTTTTGGGAGGTTCTTGCCACGGACTAGCTTCCCGACAGGTGTGCCATTTGACACTCCCAGCAATACAACTTTTACTGGAGAGGGATATGTATGTAAATATAGACACATATATATATATATGCCCCCCCTCCCAAGATCCACGTTTGGGGCTGACATATCTAAGTCTTGAGGGACACCACTTGTATGTCCTGTGATAGTAAAGGGGCACTTGCAACCCATTTGTTGCATATATTGTTTTGTCTTCTTTTTTTTTGTGTGTGTGTGTGTGCGTGTGCTATCGATTCTGGCTCATTTCCTTCCCTCGTGATTGAACGTCGCTCCCTGTGGGTACGGCAACGTTTTGGGGCTCCCGCTCAGTGTATTGCACATTGCTACAGGCCGTTTTTCGACGGGCGTTGGTAGTCTACAGGCCTACAGGTCTGGTCAACGGAAAACAATAGGCGTGACAAACATAAGGGTGATGCTGGATGCTGCAGCGTGCTGTCGACCGTTTTGGCCTCCAAAGAAAAATGAGCGAGAGAGAGCGAGAGAGAAACACAAAAACAGAAGGAGAGTGACAGCGTCACAAGTACAGCCAACCAAGGGCAGCTGTTTTTGTTTTTTTTGTGTGTGATTGCGTACTATGTAAAAGAAATGCAGCCCCGTTGGTAAAGCTCGGTCATTGAGTTTGAGTGCCACAGACGCAGACACCGCCAAAGTACCTGTAGTGCTTCACACCAGTCGGATGTGTTCCCATGCGGCTTGAAAACCCAACACTCCAAATGTCTCGCGAGACTGCGATCTTTTGTCGACTGAAAAGGGTTTGCTTGACCTTGGTGATGCTGGCGGTGCCATTTTAGCCTACAGACAGCCCGACAAGCACCTACGTCAGTGGAAAGCAAGTTTGGTGTCGAACGGTTCATTGCGTAACTTGTGTGTGCCGTTGAAAGACCTCGGCCATTTAGTTTCAGCGCTTGAGACCAGCGCGGGCGGCTACCTTCTTCAGTCAAAGATGTCAAGCCAGCCAGAAGAAAAGCGCCATATTTGGGCTCCCCAATAAGGGAGGAATCTAAACGCACCCACTGGCAATCAAAGTTGGTGAGGTGCCAGAGTTGCTGATAATTGTGGCACAAGGTGTGGCTATGGCTAACTTGTTCAATCGCACTCTGAGATGCATGCAAGGATCTTGAAGTGATAGAATAGTCATCTAGTCTAGCACCTGGGGCATAAAGTCGAGAAGCTTGTTACACGAACACCGTTGTTTTTGTCGCCCCTCATTTGCTTTTCGATGCACTTAGGGAGAATTGATGAGCACGCAAGTGCAACAATAGTACCCAACACGCGACAAACACACACGCACCGAAATGTTGGAGCATGCCTTGCGATATTTGCGGACTTGGACCCAATGCATAAGCCACCAATCTTCTCACAAAACGCGTCGGGCCAGCGTTGCGTCCAAAGTACTCGACAAGTGGACTAGCATGGTGAACCTGGCCATTCCAGAAAACCCTGACAGAACCGGGAAGGGGGGCGGGGGCGGATGTTTCAAAGATGAAAGCAGCTGTAGTTTTGAGCGAACTTTTTTTTTGCTTCTTCTTTTCGCTTTTTCTCCTTTTCTCCTTTTCCCTTTTCCCTTTTTGTCATTTTCTTTTTATCTCTCTCTCGCTCTCGCGCTCTCTCTCTCTCTCTCTCTCGCTCTCTCTCTCTCTCTCTTTCTCTCTCCTCTGTCTCTCTCTCTCTCTCTCGCTCTCTTTCCATTTTCAATATTTTCTCTGGCTCTTTCTCTTTGTTCTTGTGTTCCTCCTCCTTGTTTTTCTCATTCTGTGTTAATCTCTCCTCTTCTTCCCCGTTCAGTTTCTAGTTTATCTTGCTGGTTATCTTTCTCGATCCCTCCCCCTCTTTTCTCTCCTTTCTCATTCTCTTGCTCTTTCTCTTCGTCTCTCCCTACTTGTACTTTTTCTGTTTGGTTTTCCTGTTGTCCTTCTCCATCTCCTTCTTTCTCTCTCTAATTTTGTCTTTCTCTTGCTCGTGTTTTGTTTTTTGTTGTTGTTGTTTTTTTGTGTTTTCTTTTCTTGTGCGTCTCTCTTTCTCTCTCTCTCTTTTTATATTATTCTTTCTCTTCCTCTTTCTATTTCTGTTTCTGTTTCTCTAGATCTGTCTTTTATCTTTCTCTTTCTCTTGCTCGTGTTTTGTTTTTTGTTGTTTCTTTTCTTGTGCGTCTCTCTCTCTCTCTCTTTTTATCTTCTTCTTTCTCTTCCTCTTTCTATTTCTGTTTCTGTTTCTCTAGATCTGTCTTTTCTCTTTCGTTTTCTCTTTTCAGTATCTTTCTCCTTTTCTGCGTCTTTGTTTTTTTGTTTTTTCTCGTTCTCTGTCACTTTCTCTTTTTCCCCTTTCTGGTTGTCTTTTCTTTTTCTCTTTCTTGCGCTCTCGCTTTCTCTCCCTCTTCCCCCTTCTTTCCTCGTTCTTTCGCTTTCTCTCTCTTCAGCCTGCAAAAATGAAATCGACAAAACAAACAGTGTGTAGCGAGCAAAGTGAACAACGCAAAGCCCACGAGTTGGTAGAGCTCGAGCTGCCCAAAGTGCTTCACACACGTAATATCCGGAGACTCCCACTTGTTTCAGGGTCTCGGTGAAAACAGACGGAGTTTCTATACTCCTAGTTTTTGAGGGAAAGCTGAAATTGGTTTGCACACCTGAAGCCCCTAGAAATCGCAACTATCCGGCGCTTGACAGAAGGAGCCCTCCAATTCAGGAGAGTTCAGAATGAGATTCATTCACATGAACCAGAAACAACTGTCTAGAATTCAGAATTATTCAGAATTCGACATCGTTCACAATTTGCTTCTGCGGGTGACAAACGTACAAAACTGGCAGCACCACACTTGAAGCTAACCTCAAACGCAAAACCTCGCAAACACCAGCAAACTCACGCAAACCACAAAAGACGGTAAAAGCTGTGGCGCGCACAGTTGTACAATTGCAGGCCCAAATAGCGAAGAAAAAAAAGCCTTGTTTCCACTTGCTTTTGCTGTCACCACTGCCTTTCGCAAGCCACTCCTGCTTTTTGATTCATGCCTTTGAAACACCTGAAAATCCTAGTCTTCAGAGGGTCCGTGCATTGGTTTCCAGAGAGGGAGACAGAGAGGGAGAGAGAGCGAAAAGATCAAGTAGTTTCAGTGCTATGGTTCAATATGGCTTTGGCCATGAGTTCGGCTGTTTACCCGTGAGCACACCACCGTGGCTGCGACATATCTTTCAAGGTTTCCTTCTAAACAAATGTGCATTGTGTAGTGTTGGTATAGTATTGGGTGGGGGTCCTTGCGTAGATATCTCTATACGCACATGTTGACGCATGACGTCATTGAAGGATTTGGGGTTTGGTCCGGTCACCAATATTTGCTTCGATTTCCATCTGGGCCACTGACATCGAGCCTGTGTGGCTGTTAGTGGATTCGATCCAACTAGAGGGGCTGCTTCCTGCCTGCGCCGAAATTCAGAGATTGATTTGTTTACCTTGCCGCATGGGCTAAGTGTTTTTCCGCTTGGAACAGGCACTTTGACGAGTTGCAACGTGACATGTAAAAAATCCAACCAAACACGCAGGCGGCACAACGGCGGCATTTCCACCGCATTCTCGCATTCACGCGCACAAATGCAAAACGTGTCGCAAGTAAACATATTGGAAGACCGCGCAAACCAGCGTTTTGTAGCAGACTAAAGGTCGGATTGAAGCGTGTTGTTTGTTTTTGTTGTCCAGAGAGCTGAGCATCCTTGACATCTCGAGTCACATGGGCTCAGTTCACGAGTGGGACCTGCTCAGGAGCAGCTTGCTGGCTGCCGGACGACCAAGCAAATCCTGAAGGCCG